TATTGACGAACGTGTTCAGGAACTTGCTAACAAATGTGTAAGTATATTATTTTAATATTGTCATTTTTTCTTATAATCAATTAATAAACTTAACTTTCTCGCTATATGTTACATAGGCTGAGATAGAGAAAAGTGACCTACCTGATGATGGAGATGTCTTGGGCAAGGCACTAAGTAATCCTAAACACTCCGGTCAGGTTAGGGGTTACGGAAATAAATATTTGGGACACAAAAAAAGATGAAGTCAACAGAGGACGTGGGCGCAAGGGCTAAGATTGCCACACTGAAAGAGAAGCTAGCTAGGCAACGAGAATTGATTGATACCTTGCTAAAAGACAAGGAAAGGCAGGAGGGAGAGTTTCATATTAATCCTAGCGGGAAAAGTAGTTTTAGTGTAACGCAGCCCGTTAAAAATCTCCCTGAGGTAAACTAATACTTATTTATTTCACTTATGTTTCACTATTTGTATTTTCCATAACATTAATATAGTATATTACTCATTAATATAGGGCAAAAATATTTGTGAGTTGTTAGCAAATAGCCCAAATAGTCATGTGGTTGCTATCAATCGAGTGTTCAATATGCTTGGAGACACATTACATAATATGGTACTCACTGTATCCTATGTACGAGTTGTTATTGATGTGCTTAAAGATCTCAACTATCCATTACCTATTTCCACCGAGGATACAGGGATTGTAGGAGAGGCGATGGTAGCTTTATTAGATGGCAAGCTACTAATGTTAAGATATCAAGTCCAAAAAAATCTAACAAAGATGCACAATCCAAGAACAAGACTGTGCCCTGATCTAAGCTTTCTTCAAAAATTGTCTCGATGTAGCAATACCTGAACAAGAGTCTCAATTGTCAAGCCAGCATTGAAATTTACTTTAGGTGTTTGCAATGATTCATAGTTCTAACCCTCTGATCTTGCAAATTCCATTCGAGGCAGGAATATATGGTGTACCCCAATATGATATGCTTTTGCTCGATATTATAGATGAAGTACTGCAACATTAGATGACCAGCCTTACTATTCTTAGCTTTTATATACGGTAAATTATCTTTCATATATGAACAATTAGTATTTTAAATATATACTAATCCATTTGATATATTAATGGTAGGTGCTTGAATGAAAAATTTATTGTCCCTTTCGGCCTGCAAACGAAGTTCGTTTTGTTAGTCCACATGAGGTTGGCGCACATGCTTTAATTAAAAAGGACAAGATTTTAGATCAAGCCAAGCAATTAAGTGAAAATTTTAAAACAATGGCTCAAAAGGAGACATTATTCTTAATACCATATTGCCAAGGGTAACCTACTTCTTACTTATATTAATGGATTTGTTAAGATTAATTTAGTCACTTAATTATAATTTTATAACACTTGTTAATGCTATTAGGATGTTGATTGCCACTGAACCATATGGTAGCACTTCAAGAATATATTATCTTGATTCTCTTAGTGAAAAACTAGAGAATAGACAAATTTTATTAGAGTTGATTAATACGTAAGTGTAAAAAATAAGTATTTTATATATTTATTTGTTTATTTCTATATTGACATATTTTTTCTTTTTTTATTAAGGTAATTATGTTGTACCGCACAAATACTAAACAAATAATTCCAAGGTCATTTACAAATTTCGATGCAGCCTACACTTGGAATATAATAAAGATAATTAATACCATTTTTTAGTTTAAATATTTATAATTTTTTAATGCATTAATATGTACTCATTGGTTCTTTAATTTGTAGTACCCAAAACAAATGAAAAATAGCTTGGATTGTGGCTTTTGTGTTATGAGGTTCATAAAAGACATCATTATCTATAATGAAAGCACAATTCCTGTGATAGTATGCCAACAATTAATTTTCACTTTATAATTCCTAATGAATTTAATTTATTAAAATAAATTTATGGTGAATAATTTATGTTTTACAGTACTATGAAGATTCTTACATTGAAAAACTTGGGCATACACAAATAAATGAGGTAATTGAAGAATGGTATCAATACATATTCCAAGTGTGGTCATTGCATAAAGATGAAAAATTAATAGATTTAGTGCAAATATGATTAGTGTTTATAGTTTTACTAGTTTTCACTCATTATTTGATATTAGTTGGTAAATTACTTCCTTTAAAAAATTATATACATTGGTTACTTGATAGATCAGAATAAGAGATTAGTTTTTATTTCATTTTTTAATGATTATAATTCAATTTCAATTGATATTCATGCATAAAAATGTTGAAATTGCTGTTTGGTTATTATTTGTATAGTTGTTATAGGAAGATTGCTATAAATAATAGACTGCTATTTAAAAAAAACCATAGAATATATGACGGGCAAATATTTGCCCGTCATTTATTATAACCAAATAATATGTGACGAGAAAATAGTTACCCATCATTTATTGTCTGGTTACAATAAATGACGGTTAAAAATTTACCCGTCATTTATGATAAGCATAAATGACGAGTATTTTAAACACTCGTCATTTATTCTTACAAAAAATATAGAAAAATATATTTTAAATGACACATTATTTAACTATCATTTATACAAAAGAATAAATGACGGGTAAATAATCGTCATTTATTTAGGAGGACTTTAAATAGCAGGGTCATAAATGATGGTTCATCATTTATAAGTAAAAAAACTGTCATTTATGTCGTTTTTCGTAGTAATGATAAAATCATTATCAATAAGGGCACTTTAAAAAAAAGGGCAATAATTATACTTCGAAAGACTAAAAATATCTTACATTTTTTAACGGAGGGAATAAGATATTTTTAAAACAATTTAGTATCTCAAGATATTAGACATTTTGGACAAAAAATAATATTTTATTGATGATAATTATTGCAATATTATGATTTATCCCTAATTATTTCACTTCTAAAACAAATTACAATCCCTCTTTCTCTTATTAATGAAGAATATTATTGAAAGTTTATAAAAAAAATAGGATTATAAACTGTATTTAATAAATTTTATTAGTAGGTACATAATTTTGAGAGCAATGAATGCAAATGTAAAATAACATATATTCGGCTATCAACTATGTTACGTTTTTTTTTTTTTTTTTGAGATGATTAGCCCATATTAAATGCCCAAAAGGTCAAGAAAATACCAAACCAATAGCAAAACAAACAAAAACATCGTACCAGAAATAACAAATAAATAAGAAAAAGTGAGGGATGTTTAGTTTTTATTCTTATTTTTTATTTTTAAAATATTTTTTATAATACATTTTTTAAAATTATTTTTCAAATAAAGTAAAATAAAATAAAAATTTGTTTGGTTATATCAATTAACAAGTAATTTTAAAATTAGAAAATAGACAGATAATGATGGTTAAAAGTACTTAATGGTAATTATAATTTTTAATAATAAAATGTAGTATATTTTAAAAATAAAAAAATAAAATAAAAATAATTTAATGTTGTTTCTATTTTTTATTTTTTAAAAATGAAAATAAAAACAATTAAATAAAAAGAACTTATCCAAATAAATTTTTAAATTTTTCTGTTTTTCAAAAAACAAAAAACAAATAGACCCTAAATGTAGATCGCATTTGATTTCTGTTTTTAAAAATAATTTTTTAAAACAAAAAATTATAAAATTTGTTTAGATAGATATTTTAAATTTAATTTTTTTCAAAATTATTCTCATTTTCTAATTTTATAAAAAAAATAAAACATCTTACAAGTATTTTTTTTATTTTTTATTTTTAAAATACATTACATTTAATTATTAAAAATATTATCACTTTGATCAATCATTATTACAAGCCATCACTATTAATTAACGGTGATAATTACTATCAATCAATTTTTTTAATTCTAATTTTTTTAAATTAACATAATAAAATATTTTTATTCAAAAAAATTTAAAACTGCATTGTAAAATAATTTAAAAAAAACAGAAACCACTCACATAGGTCGCCAGACTTTTTATTTTTAATCTCACGGGCATATTTTCCTTCTCTATGGGAAGGTATTCTCTCTCTCTCACCCAAAAAATAAAAAAAAGATCTACCCATTATCTTCCTCATGCTCATATATCCATCACTCGGGTCTCTTAATGTCATAACAGCTAAAAAATTTTATATTAATCATCACTTGTTAAAATTTAAATAAATATTTATTGATTTAGTTTAGTCTCTTATTAATAAGTATTATTCTGGTTTTAATAAGAATTTATTCTAAATTAACAATAGTCAATTCAAGCTTATTTTTCATTTACGTTTTAATAACAAGTGATCCTTGATTGATATAAATTTCTTCTAGCAGTCCTTGATTGTTATTTTTCCTATCAATTATTCATTTATAAAAATGCATATTTGATTCTCTAATTTTATATAATGTTTTAATTTTATAAATTATCTTTTTAATTTAATTAATAGCTCTAACAATTTTAATATCATATGATAATTTTTTCCATGGCAATCATTTTATTTTAAAAATTAAACTTAATAAACTAACATTTCATAATATTTTTTCAACATATTAATTTAAAAGTTCACCATCAACATTTTTTATTAATAAAACTAATGATGTTATGCTTAACAAAATTTAAAGACACTTTATACAATTAAGAAATCAAAATAAAATTTTATATAAAGTTAAAGAATTAAAGATATACTTTTACTTATTTATTAGATTAATAATTTCATTCTCTTTTGGTCTATATTTAATTTGTGTACTAATGACTCGGCTTACACTTGCACCCAAAGTAGTTCATTGTTAATGAACCACACCGAGACAGAAGTCAGCTGGTAATAGTTCATCCTCTAAAGTAGGACACTTGATGAGAGAAAATTAACCAAAGAACTAAATGAATATTAAAAAAATACATGAAATTTTGCAGTTTTATTTTTTCTTTAAAAACATATATAGTATATTTTCATGACCACAAAATACTAAAATATATCTTATCTTATTTTATCTAAAAGCCAATATTTTATCTAAAAGCTAATGATAAAAAAAAACAAAAAACAAAAAACAAATAAAATATATAAAGTATTACAAAGAAGCATTAGAGAGTTTTGAGACACCTGGGTCACTTCCATTTACACTGAACATGATTTGTGTGCCTAAAATCATAAGTTAACACCACACTTCCATCCATTCTCCTCAACACAAAACTTTCCACCAACACATAAAACCCAAAATTTTCCCACTCATGAATTTTTCCATCAAACTTCTCAGTTCTTTCAAATCTCACTTTCTTCTTCTCATTATTCTTTCCCTCCCAATCATCAGCTCTCTCTTCTTCCCATCTCATTCTCTCCACAATCTCCATTCTCAACCCTACCTTTCTCTCTCCTCTCTCCAAAACCCTAAACCACATCACACCCTCTTCACCAAATCTTCCTTCTTCCCAAACATCTTCTCTCCCATCACCCATCCCTGCAACTTCTGTTTCCACCACAACATTCACAAACACTTCATTACTTTTCCCATTGTTTTCCTTAGAGAAAACTTTACCCCACCTTCTTTCAAGCGTCATTTCATAGAAAACTGACTTCTTCATCTGCTCCTTTACACTCACTCCTTCTTCCTTCACAAACATGAACGGGCAGTACCATTTTCCGACAACCACCGGCTCGGAGCAATCCGATGGTGATGATGAGAAGGTGAAAGGTGGTAACTTCGCTCGCAAGGTAGGGTTGACGCCAAGAGCTTCACTTAAACGATAATGGCTGGGTGCGGCGGTGCAGAGAGACCAACCTCTTCTTCTCAAGAACAGAGGAGCAAACCCATCTGAGGCAATAGATTTGGCTCTGTGTCCACAAAACGTTTTTAAAATCTCAAATTGTTGATATTCATCAGAGGGATTTAGAGGTTTGGTTTTGACGTCTTTGATATAATTGCAACAGAAACATGTCCCGAGGTCTTCTTCCTTTGAACATGTGCTTGCTTCACTGTACATCAATAATTAGTCCTTGGAGTGATGATGCTATCCAAAGTGATTGATCAATAAGCTAAACTAAGACAGCAGCTCAATTGATGGATTCGAATTTAAATTAATTAAAATTCAGGCATTTAAAATTCTTTATTTGTATAGTGTAAAAAATTAAGAAAATTATAATTAAGGACCTGAAAAAATAAGTAATATAACAATTGAGGACCATATAATCCAGAAATTAAATTTCAGGGCCATTGTCCTCTTTATTGTTAAAAAGAAGTAATATTTTGACTAAAAACCCCTTCACACTAACTAAGTAATTGTGCATTTTAAAGAGAAGTATTTTAGTCAAATGATTTTTTTTTTAAACTACAAAAAAGGACCATGATCCTTAAACTCAATTTCACAATTTTGTGATCCTCAATCGTTATTAATTACTAGTTTTCTAAGGTCTTTAATTATAATTTTTCTTAAAATAAAATTCAAAGCAAAGAGAGAAATGAGTTGGGATTTCAAGGAAAAAAATGAAAAATTAATAATAATAAGTTTATATATGTTCTTCAACAGATGAGAGGCCAACAAGAATGATATATGATAGAAGAGATAAGAGCAATAGAAATAGCACTAGTATAAACATAAACAAACTAAAGGTAAATTCATTACTCTCAATCTTCCATTTTTCAAACAAGAATATAAAGAGAATTTAAAATTACAAAAAAATAAAACATAAATTTGAATTTATATCAAATCAAAATCCCATAAATTTTTAAATATTTAAATAAAAAATTTGATTCAAACCCAAATTCACATTACATTAATCCAGACACAAACTATAATAATATTATATTTCAATTATATATTGATGAAAAATTAACGCACGCATACCCTTGGTGCTTCCCTTTCCTTCGTATGACATAGTAGAGATTAGAAGACAAAGGTTGATTAAGAACAGGAATGAACATGACTCCATCTCGTAAAATTATGACGCCACTTCCAGTATGCACTGTATAGGAAATGGTTAAGTTCCTGTTCTGAGGGAATGGCAAGTTGCTGATTCCCTTCTTCCACAAGCCAAAACAACGGTATGATTCAGCTTCTTCATCTTGAAGTACTAGGTACCCGAGATTTGGTCCTTCTGGCGTACGCGAAAGAGCTTCAGGGTCCCTTTTGTACAGAGATCGAGGTCTCGTTACGTACATCTCTCTCTCACTCTCTTTCTCTCTCTCTCTCCTCTTATGATTAGCTTACTTGTTTCTGCATGATGATCTGATGAGCTTCACCGTAATTGTGTTCTGTGATTTATATTGTTGGGGTTAGCGCGTTTGATGGTATTATTATAGACTTTGTGTCCCCTTCCCTTATGTTGTTTGGGATTATAAAAAAATTAAGGAAACAGCTAAGAAGATAACCCCAAAATTCTAATCAATTTGATCTGCCATTTCCTGGCCAATTCAGTACATTTGTTTAAAGTTGCTTGAAATTGATATAAAACTAGGGGAGGGACGCAATTAGAAAGATAAGCATAGAAATTAAAGAAGCTGCGAGGAAATTTCAACTCTTTCTTTAGGTTTTGGCAATTGAAAGTCAAAGTCCACTGTCGATCATTTTACATTTAAAATTGAAAAAATATCAATCAAAAACCGTTAAAAAAATTTATATAAATCAAGAATTATTTATTATCAAAATCAGAATAGATACTCGTTAATTCAAGTTAAATTTTTATCAATAAGTATCTATTCAAATTTAATAATAACTAATTATAAATTAACAACAGTTCATTTGAGATTTTTTTCATTTTAATTTTGACAACAACTAACCTTTAATTGATATGAATTTCCTTTGCGATCCTTCATTATTATTTTCCCTTTAAAATTTGGTGATGGTTAGGGATAGGGAGCCACTAGCCAGACAAGAGATGTAGAATAAAGAGCAATTTTGTCTTTAAATTATAGATTGAAGAGTATTGAAATTCTAAACTTTTATACAATATTCTTTTAACTTTTGAAATTTAACTTTACCCGTTGCTTAACAAGAAAATGATAGAAAAGGCTAAAAAAATTAAGAAAATGATCAAGAAAATTTACTAGGTCATTTATATCATTTTATGGTCAACTAATAATTAAATTTATTTTTATTAACAATATGAATTACATTATACTGTTTTCAAAAGGTGAGAGGAATACTACACACACAAAAAAATTAGACTAGTTCCAAAAACTTCTAATAAATTTATAGTTTGGAAGTCAAATTATTATTTAACCCTAATTTAAAATGGCAAAGCTAAAATTTCTGGATAATTTCATTTTATTATATATTAATTGGTTATAAAGTTTAACTTTATCAGTTCTCTTATGCCTAGACAATAATCTAACAGATAACAAAAAGAGATATAATAAATTAGAGCCTTATGTGTATTGCGACTTTAATTTTAATCATGCACGTAAGTGTTCTGAAAGAATCAATTGCCTCTTCCTTAAGACCTCCTTGTCTTTAAAACCTAATCTCATATAGTAGATAATATTACCAAAGTTGTATAACTTTTCTCCAAGCCGAATAAATAATCAAACTGAATTAATCAATGAAAATTTGAAAAGCAATGTACTTGACATGTACGTAGCCATATGTTTTTATTTATAATATACATGAAAATTGTGCACCGTAAATAATTACTCCCTCCATTCAAAAATATAAAATATTTTTTAAAGAGTTGGATGTTCAAAAATATAAGATATTTTTAGTCTTTCAAGGTGTAATTATTATTTTTTTTCAAAAGTACCCCCATTAATAATAACTTTATATTTATTATAGAGTTTTAAAATAGGGATAAATATAAAAAAAATAGGATTAGTTTAAAAAGTAAATAACTACATTATTAAAAGATGAGATTCAATTAAAAATACCTTTTATTTTTAAACGGAGGGAATATATACAGTATCAACAAGCTAATAAGTAATCCGGGGGAATTATTGAAAACACCCTTGCATTAATTGAGCCAATATAAGAATACATGGAAAAATGAAAGTTATAGACTATATCATGAAAAGGGAAAAACATATATATTTAGCCTTATATGCTTAAGGTGTTTTGTTTTTAATTAAATTAATATATGTGTATCATTTATATATTATTTATTTTATAATAAATTTTTATTATTAATATTATCAATACATTAAATTCATTTGCTTTGATTTGATTGAATAAAAATATATTAAATATATAAAGCTAAATACATAAGTTTTGTCCTTATAAAAATTTTATGTAAAATGAGGACTTATTTATAACTTGAGCTTCCATCAAGTAATTGTGTTTTGACTTATATTAAATCAAGTAATGGCTCACTTTCATCGAAGTTTTGATAGTCTTAAACGTGAAATCAAATACACACTAAATCTTATAATTAAATTTTAATCATTCTGCAGCTCCTAGTTAATAATTAAGACATCTCACATCGAATAATTAAAAAATAAATAAATTAAGAAAATGTCAATCATTGACATCCACCAATGATTGACTTCATTCATTGATGACAACATGACAATAAAAAAAATTACAATATATAGTAGAGATTATCTCCCACATCATACTATGAAATTATTAGTTTCTTACAGATAAAGAAAGACAAAAAAAACATGAAAATAAGCACATGGCATTCTTAAGTATTGACAGCGCTGGATGGAGCCAATCAATCCAAATCCTTGAACAGCTGTTTTGAAAGGTTGGTTATAACATCCAAGTAACAAGTAGCATATGCTTGTTGTTCCACTTCTTAAAAAAGAAGAGTTTTTTATTTTAATAATAAAAAGTGGTTTACTAACTTGTTAGGATAAATAATAATAAATTTCTTTGAATTATATAAATGACATTTTGATCATTGAACATGTCATAATTTTCTTAAAATTTTTAAAAATTTTTTTGTCATTAAAGAATTAATATAATAATCAAATTGTCTTTAATTCAAACTTGTGAATTGTCGTTGAATTCTTATAATAAAAAAAAAAAATTTTGTGATCTTAGGACAAGACTTGTGAATGGCAATTGACATTTGAATTAAGGATAATTTGATCATTTATATTAATTCTTTAATAACAAAAAAGTTTCTAGAGATTTTAAGAGTATTATGACATTTTGAAAAACTAAAATTTTATTTATATAATTTAAAGAAATTTTTTATCATTTTCCCAACTTTTTATCAGGTTACTCCCATATAAATGTACTCTTTTTTAAAAAATAATTTATATATTAAAATTTCAATTGTCATTATTAAACACACATATATTATGAGGATAAAATAAAAAAAAGTGAAATATTTAAGAAATTAAGGTTTTGCCTATATCTTTTCTCAAAAACCATAAAACAATTACCAATATTTTATATTGCAATTCAGATAAAGATATGTTTAATAAAAATAATTTAAAATTTATTAAAATTTTAGAGAAGTTAATAAATTTTAAATTTTTTTTATAAAATATATTAAAAGTAACTTATAAATAAAATTAATGAAAATATACATAAGCCGCAAGATGAATGTTAGAGGTTTGACGACGTTGTTTCAGTGACATTGATCTACATTTTCGATTTTTATTTATAAAAAAAATTATTACTTTTTTATTTTTTTTATATAAAAAAATCACTTATTTTAATAAATATTTATTACATATTTCTTAAATTAACTCTCATAATTTACATTAACGAAAAATAATTAATGTATATTTATGCTGATTAATACAGGATATTTTAATTTATTTTTATTTTTATTTTTAAACATAATTATTATAATTCATTAATTTTTTTTAAATTTTGAGATACAGTGAGAGAGAGATAGAGAGAATGTGTGTGTGTGGGTGTTGGGGGGGGGGGGGGGAATGGAGGAAGTAGGGAAATGGAGGAAGTAATTCAAACCCAGGCTTGCTTTCCTAGCAGCGCCACTGAATTGTCCATACTGAAATAGTAGAAGCGTTCCAACTTCCAACCCAGCCCACAGGAATGATCGCGCGTGAGGAAATCTCAAGCCACGCTGCGACAGATGTCTCTCGAACATCACCATTAAATACATTAATTTTCAATATCATATTTTATCGAAAAATATTTCAATATCATATTTTATCAAAAATTTCTCTTATCTTTTATACTTCGTTTCATTTTATTGGTTGGAAAAAAAAATTCAATTTTATTGGATGTCTTCAAAAGGAACATATATCACTCCTAATGAATACTCTTTCTGTTTTTATTTATAAAAGAAATTATTACTTTTCACTTATTTTAAGTAAAATTACATATTTTAATAAATATTTATTGCATATTTATAAATTACTCCTTATAATTATAAAAAATAATTAATATTTATTTATGTTAATTAATCTATGATAGTTTAGTTCAATTTTCTTATTTTCAAATATAATTATTACAATGAATCAATTTTGCTTAAATAGTATGATACTATATTATATATATATATATATATATATATATAAATGAAGGAGCATATCAAGTTGTCCAATAAAATTTTAATTAATCATCTTGATTTACAAAATCTAGAAATGTTTTAATGAATTTTTCCTTTTGCTTCTTCTAATGATACTTCAATTTGACATCATCTCTCTATTACAACTTTGTCATCCCATGTCCTATTTAGTAAAACCAATTTATTATTTTTTTTTTCCTCTTCTCTGCTTCCCATCTCCAACCAAATAGCTTATACTCCTTTATTTTTTTTTTCAAAATAATATCTTATATTTTTTTGAGATTATATATTCAAGAATATAAAAGAAATTTAATTTTTATATGTGAAATAAATAAATTTTTTAAAATATCATCACTAAAGAAATAAATCAACCATTCACATCTGAGTGAGACCCTTACTTAAAAAAAGACAAATATAAAAAAAATAAATCAAATTAAAAAATAATTAACTAGCTTATTATAAAAATATAATTTGATTAAAATTATTTTATATTTTTAAAAGGATAAGGATAAGTCTAGTTTGGAGTAATATGAAAATATTGCGACGACGTAACCAAATAATATACTTGATTTAAAATTACATCATTTTTTATATTTATTTTTATTTTATTAGGCTTCTCAATTAAAAATTTTATTAATTAAACTCTTTAATTTAAAAGCATTTGGTAAAAAAATTTATTAAATACACGTTAAAAATATTTTATATTTTTAAATATAATATTAAAAAAGTACTTTATATTATGGATTAGACTAATATTTCCTCCATTAATAAGGCATTTTTATACTTTGAAGAATATTTATGTAAAATTTTTTAAGAGA